GAATTGGTCCCTGGAAAATGTCAGCGATATGTTGTGAGGTGGGCAAGTACGGGGCCGCACGAGGGAAGCACTGACTTCCATATCCTGTGCCAGGCAAAGGACATCATGTCGTTCATGCGATCATAGGAGTCGGCCACGCTGTGGAAGACGCCAGCGACTCGATCGGCCTTTTCGGACTCGAGGACGGTTTCATAGCCAAAGTGAGTTGTCTTGGTAGGGTCGTTGGATGGGGGGGCTTCGCGACGCTGGGCCGTCAGGGCGAAGGTACGGCGCTGAAGGCGAGTGGCATTGATGTGTCTAGAGAGGGTTCGCAGGCCCGTGGACGGGCGGAGGGCGCGTGTTGTCGCCATGGTGGTTGTCTTGGAGGGGGGGCTTGATATGTCCTGGGTTGAAAGTCAGCCTGGTTGATGCATCTTTCGATCGTCCTGTCACGACGGAAATTTTAGTGGGGCGCGGAAGACGGAGCGATCGTTGTGGCGTCCTCGAAACGTCAAGCCACATGCTTGACTTCAACCCTTTTCCTACCATCCCCGACATGCGGACGAAACTTACGTTAGACGGATGTGATGGTCGTCTCTGTACGGCGGGCTGGTCGAGTTCGGACGTTGTTCATCAGGTCGGCAAAGTTGTCGATCTGTCGCCAGCCGAGGTAGGCAAGTCCGCACACAACACCGAGGACGCAGATGATAAGGATCGCCAGTTGGCCCGATGGTCCCATGGTATAAAGGAGAAGGCTGTTCAAGGTTGATCGTCAAACTCCGTTTGATTGAATTTGAGTTCAGACTTCTGATCGGTTGGTCGCGTTGTACGGGGATGCAACCAAGGATCTCAATGCAGTGCCTACCCAAGAATATCGGGTTCGGGATGCGAAGGAAATAGCCTCGATGATGTGTCCCGGGTTATTATGCGGCCTGGATTATATCTGTTTGCTGTTTTCTCCGTCACGCCACGCGTACCGCGTAACGCGTGGTGATGAACCAAGTACCTAGCAACGCGCAACAGGCAGAGGACTGGCAAGAGTTGCTAGGCCTCAGCCAAGTTCGCCATATCATGTAACAGTGCCTTCGCAGAATGATCTTTCTCAGGTTGAACTGCAGACGACGAGGCCTTGCTCCTCAAGACTCTGCCGTACTCGATATATTTACTGCGGGCCTCAGAGCTAACTCTGCATTTTGCCTCAATATGGGATGTATATATGACCAACCCACAAACCAAGGCTCACGGTCAAGCCTTTCCATGAAATCGCCATCTGCAACGAGTCTTCTCATGGCATCAGCAAGGCTTTATACTTACTCGAGCCTATCATCCTGGCGTACAACACGATTGTCTCTACTTCGATTCCTTGGATCCTTCGAGAATCATAACTGATAATTCTTGACTGATTGATTCGAGCCTAATCAGCCGTCTCAACTGAAATGCTGTGACCAGACAGTGTCTGGAACGGATCCTGAGGTCAACCAGGTGCTGGAGATGGTTGTGGCCCTACTTTGAGGGATAGGTACGTAACAACAAAGAGAGACGGCCTAAGGTTTGTCGTGCACGGCTACAATAAACGATTTTTCTTGTCTGCCGATGTGTGGTGTAAAACTTCTCAACTTTACCAACGAAAAAAATGGGACAACATTCAATGCACATTTCGCCTACTGTAAGCACGAACTTGCGTGATGGAAATGGAACATCATTGATGTGCACGTCTCATCCCATTCCACAGGCATAATTTGCGTAGGTTTACGCCCGTTACCTTGCTCGATGCCAGTATAAGAGCCCTAGAGCAAACTGAGAGACAAACTTTGGGATCATCATCCACATGGCCTTTGTATTTGGCGTCCCTGACGACTACCAATACTGCGGCTATGTGCGCTTGTGATAAGCCCAGCCCAAAATCTGGGGTCTCCAATCCCCAGCGGCAATGCACGGGCCAGAATACTCCTCCCGTCTCCGCTGGCTGCGTCGCTCCCTCACAAGACCCCTCAAGGCCGACTGAGACCGTCGCTTTCTGTCGGCTCAACATGACGTCGGCTCCCAAAGGCATTCACTCGGCATTGACCCTCTCGACTCGTCGCTTCGTTTCGCCTCGATTCACCTGTTTCCGTCTTGATCAATTGTGCTTTACTCTTGTGTTCTTGAAGGGAAAGAATAATCACGGGAGGCTCTAGTTTGTTCAATCATCCAAGAGAGCTTTACAGAACAGGCAGCATCATGAAGTCAAGAGTCCTCCGACCAGCAGCGCGCCTGCGCTCGGCCCGTCTAGCGAGCCCCTCCACCTCGACCCCCCGCCTCACCCTCTCCGCCCGCGCCGCCAGCTCCCTCTCGCAGAAGCCCAATGCGAACCACGTCTCGTTTCCTGGCGCCGTCAAGAGCGCCTTTACGCACACGCTCAAGTACGAGACGCCCTCCGACTACCCAGCCCTGTCGACCTACCGCGTCGTCGACCAGGATGGCATCGTTGTCGACGAGAGCTTCAAGCCGGATCTAAGCGATGAGGAGGTCATCAAGCTGTACAAGGACATGGTCTACATCTCGATCATGGATCTCATCATGTTCGACGCCCAACGGCAGGGCCGGTTGAGCTTCTACATGGTGTCGGCAGGCGAGGAGGCGCTGAGCGTCGGTTCCGCCAGCGTGCTGGCGCCCGAGGACGTCGTCTTTTGCCAGTACAGAGAGCAGGGTGTCTTCAAGCAGAGGGGGTTCACGACGTCAGATTTCATGAGCCAGCTGTTCGCGAATGCCAAAGACCCTGGCCGCGGCAGGAACATGCCTGTGCACTACGGCAGCAAGGAACTGAACATTGTATGTATATCCACGTTGGTGCCAATGGCCCCCGACAGCCCAAGCCACTGACACGAGCATCCAGCACTCCATCTCCTCGCCGTTGGCGACGCAGCTCCCGCAGGCCTCGGGGGCGGCGTACGCGCTCAAGATGCAGCGCCTGCACGACCCCAGCATCCCGCCGCGCGTCGTGGCGGCGTACTTTGGCGAGGGCGCCGCCAGCGAGGGCGACTTCCACGCGGCGCTCAACATGGCGGCGACGCGGTCGTGTCCGGCACTCTTCATCTGCCGCAACAACGGGTACGCCATCTCGACGCCGACGCTGGACCAGTACCGGGGCGACGGCATCGCGAGCCGCGGCCTCGGGTACGGCATCGACACAGTGCGGGTGGACGGCAACGACTTTTGGGCGGTGCGCGAGGCGACCAAGCGGCACGCGCCATGCACTGCCGCGACGGCGGGCGACCCGTTCTCATCGACGTATCGTGTCAGTCACACAGCACGTCCGACGACTCTTTTGCGTACCGCGCGCGCGTCGAGGTCGAGGACTGGAAGCGGCGCGACAACCCCATCACGCGGTTGCGCAAGTGGATGGAGGCCAGGGGCATCTGGGATGAGGGCAAGGAGAAGACGTGCCGCGACGAGACGAGGAGCGAGGTGCTCAAGGGGTTCCGGGAGGCCGAAGCTATGAAGAAGCCGCCCATGCGTTCGATGTTTGAGGACGTCTATGAGGAGCTAACGCCGGATCTGAAGCAGCAGATGGCCCAACTCAAGGCGCATTTGGAGAAGTACCCTGAAGAGTACGACTGCAGTGAGTTTGAGGGCGGCGCTGATAGTCTCAAGCCATGATGGCGGGCTGTGTATTGATGGAGGGTATGCAGCATCACTTTAGAAATGAAAAGAAAGAGAGCAAAGACGCTCAAATCGTTCATGCCTTGTCTTTTCCTCGAGGGCTACCCGGGAGGTTCAGGAGTGCTCGCTGTGAATCCAGAAGAATGGTGGCCTAGGTACCTTACCTAAAGTACTGACCCACCTAGGTAGGTAGGCAGCCGGGGGAAAGCTCTGCCCCTGGGAGTTCTTGCCTTGGCAAGGCCGGAATGTCATCTACCTATTGGATGCACCTTACCCTGAACAGCGTCATACTATCTACCGTAACGAGAGGCTCTCGGGCCCGGCAGGCGCAGTCTCTCACTTGAAGAAGTCTTTGGAAGTTCATGGGAGGGGAAAGATGGCGATGCAAATGGAGTTTGCAACGCTGAAAGCGCGCGAGCTTTAGCACATACGGCGAGGCTCTGTACGCCTTCCTTCTCGTGGTAATGCTGATGGCCTCCTTTCCTTGATAGATCCTCGGTCTGCACGAGGGAGGAACAACAAAGCAAACCCGACCTCGCCATGCTCCTGCTTCAACACTCTTCCTCCTCTACATGGGAACCACTCAAGATTTCAGGACACTGGAAGGAAAGCTTCGATGAGCCACCCCATGGCAAGCACGACGCCTGGCCCGGCTCCTCTCGCCACACTTCTTTCCGCCATTCATTTTGGAGCCAACGATCTTGTCTCACTTGCTTCCTTCTGCCGTGATTGGCATGTAGGAGTCAATATGGACAGGTATTCAAACAAGAGTGAAATACAGTCCATTCTACAAGCTATCTGCTGTCTTCACATCAAGCACCCAAGCGCAGGCTGGTAATTCTGACTCTATCGATATAACCAAGCAGATGACGTGACGTACTGGTCTGGGAATAAGCCGTCGAATAAACGGCAGAAAGTGATCATATACAACGATCCTTGCCTCACATTCCCCGTGAAACCGAGGTCGATTATTTTTAGACGTCTTGCGTCCTAGATACGAGCAGCAAAGCACCGTCTAGTAGCTGTCAAGGTACATATAGTGTTAGTCATTTTCTGCAGCCTGGGCATGGCTGAGGACGCAGATTCAAGTTAGGTTGAAAGAAACATGCGGCTACGGCAAACATTCAATTCGTATCGGTGCTGATCGGACGATCGGTGAGGGCTTCTCAACTCGCGTCCTGCTACCAGGTACAAGCGTGTCTTGGCCCTCGAAGCTCAGGTTGAATATACATGCCTCAACCCGTCGTTCCGGGTCTCCTGAGCATTCTTTCCTGCGAGCTTCCTTCGGACACTATCAGCACAAACGCCTCGCCTTGATCAGGGTTCAAGTCACCATCGCGGCATGCATAGCACCCTCACGCTCTGTGTTTACTCCCACAACTGCTAATCCACGTCAAAAACTGTCATCTCAGAAAACACATGAGCCGTGGCTTCATTATCAAGCCCCAGATCGGGGTTGACTTCGACACGCTGTGTCTCACCATTGATTAGCTCTTCGAATCCAGTTCTCCGAGGTATTGGATTTCTCTCTATCGTACGGATCTTCGGCGAAGATACAGCCATACTGAGCGTAGGCGCTCCGCTTTCGCTTGCTGTGTGTTATTGACATCGGTCCTCCATACGAGGAATGATACTGACGATAGGCAGGTAGGCGCATTTTCTTTTCTCGTCGGGGTTATCTTGTCACCTCCCTTGCTCAGCCGCCTCGGCTGACGAAGAGGAGAAAAGCTTTAAGATTTGGTCTGATTGAGTCTACTCGTTGCACCTTGTGCTTCATCGATGACCGACCCACGATCCAACGACCTGACCTTGGGCCATCTTTGGCTATCGGAGGCGACGGCGGCGGGTTCCGACACGGACGGAGGAACTAGGAGGCACAGCAAACTTTGGACATATGCATTGGACCATAGCAGCGATTCAATTCAACACTTAATGAACCTTGATTGGGGTCGAATGTCTGCAAAATATTCCAGGTGCAATATGTGAACCCGCCTGTGATGACTTTGGTGGCACAGCGCGTAGGTCCCCCGAAGGACGACAT